CATAGCGATCATTATACACGGAGCTGCGCCCGTGCTTATACACGGAGGCTCGGCTTTAGTCTCGCGAGAACCAGCGTTCCTGCCTTGAGAGGCCATCGGGGGCGCCCTCCCACCGGGGTAGTATGGAGGGAGGCGACGGCTGCGGGGAGCATCTGTTCTCGCTGGAGCTGCTGGTGGAGTCGGCGCGCGTGGAGCCACAGCTGCTGCCGACGCCGCTGCCCGCCACGTGGCCCCTTCCGGCCGGCCGTGGCCCTCCGGCTGTTGGACTTCCCGACCCTCCTGGTCCGCGCCCCGCAGGCCGCGCCGGGCCCGGTGGTGCCCTTCGGGCGGGGCAAGTCGTGCCTCTTCAGGCTGCGGCCGGACGCTCTGAAGGGCCTCTTGCGTCGCTCCCCGCTCCACGCGCTGCTGCTGGCACTGCCGCCCAACCCGGGGCCCGCCCGCCTGCTCGGCTCGTCCTGCGTCTCCCTGGCGGCCGCCGCCGAGGAGGTGTTGCTGGGCTCCGGGCCGGGGAGTGGAAGGGGCCACTTCCCGCTGCGGGACCTGATGGGAGAAACGGTGGGGGAGCTGGAACTGAGCTATCGCCTCAACAGCCTGGGCTCCTCGGGCCTGGAGGACTTCGAGCCAGGGGCGGCGGCGGACAAAGCCCTCGCTGGAGACCAGCGGCACCAGCAGCTCGCTTCCCCGCCGGGCAAAGTGGCGGCGCGGAGGCTCAGTCTGGAGTTCATCTCAGAGGGAGAGGAGGACCAGGACCCTGCCCCAAGTGGTGGCAGCCAGGGGTCCCTAAGCAGCCCTGGCACCGAGCCAGAGCCGTTTTCCAGTAGCTCCAGCGGGGAGGAAATCTCTGGAGAGCTGGAGATCGACACAAATGCTTTTTGTCCCCCTCCAATGTATTACAGCCATCAAACTGAAAAACGCTGCCCCAGCCCTAAATCTGCTGCAAGAGTGATAATAGTGGCCGCTCAAGATTCACTTCCCAAAGAAAGAACTTCGTTGCCTGTTGTTAAGGAGGAGCCTGTAACTAGTGCTGAGGAGGCTTCTTCACCTTTATCCAGCTCACTGGGTAGCTCTAAGGAACTCAGGCAGACTTTAAGTCAGCTGCCTCTACTGAATGCTTTGTTGGTGGAACTCTCCTTGCTAAATAGCCAGCCCCTGCCACCAGGACCATCTACTGTGCATCCTCAGTTGGCATGGCTCTACCAAAATGCAGAAGAAGGTACAAAAACACCACCCTCTAACGGCAAGAATCTGTGCGCCTGCCGGGACGATAAGAAAAACAGCCCACACCGCAAAGAGAGAGGAAGATCACCTAGTCCTAAATTAAAAAGAAATCGCCCAGATCATTTAAAAGGCATGTCTCCTATCTGTCCTGGCAAAACATTTACAAAACCAGTATACTTTGAAAGACCTGTAAGCCCTGAAAAGACAAATACCAAAGAAAATTCTCCCCCTAGAAGGAAGCTTACTTATGGGCTGACAAATACACTAAGGCTTCGTCTTCAGCGATCCAATCCAGGTGTGTTGAAAGTTCATGAAAAGAGAGAACATCGTAGAAAAAAACTTGGTGACGTATCTTTTGAAAAAAAAGGTAAAAGCTCTTTAGCCAAAAGAAAAATATTCCAAGGCTCCCTTGACTGTCATCCAAAGTCTTCTGGGCAATGTGATGAAAAAAGCATCCCTGATCAAAATGCTCAAATTAATGAAAATGTTGAGACTTTAATACAAAGCAGTGCTGAAAGAAATAGCCCTATGGCCACAAAAAAAATAAGCTCTCGTATTCTCAGAAAAGTTGGAGCCAGTGGTGTGAAGACTAGAGACAATGCAAAAGGAAAGTGCTCATCTGAAATTGTTGATTCTAGTTATAAAGAAAAAAGCTTGGAAGTTCATCTGCCAAGAGTCTTTTTACAGAATACTGAAGCCCTTGAAAACCCAACAGACACAGAGATAGAAAAATGTGTGCAATGTTATGATTGTAATATTTCATATTTATATAAAGATAGACAAATCAACAACTTTGAAAAGAGTCATGCACGTAAGAATTCAGATAGCATAGTTGTTAATTCTGAAAATGCAGCCTATTCAGAAGATTTCACCAGTGTTGACAGTTGTGGCACAAGCTTGGAAGCTCCAGTGAGCAGCCCTGAACCTTTACCTATAAACTCAGATCACAGTCAGTCTGGCATTGACTCCAATTCTAAAAATTCCAGAAGTCTTCCTGCTAAATGTATTTCACCTCTTCATCCAATACCTTCAGCTATATCTCCTGTTCAGACACTTAAAAAGACATATGATTTAAAATCTAATGAAAAAAAATTAGGTATTGGATTGAACAAATTTGATGATGATTCTCTTGCAAGAACTTTAAGGGACCAACTTACAGTTCATGAAAAGGAAAAGAGGAAAGTTACACAGACTTTTGAGGACAAACAAGTATACCCTGATACAAATTGTAACATAGCAAAAAGTCGGTCATCTGTGGAAAAGAGCCACTCTGTAAGGACATCTCAAGTTAGCTCTTATTTGCCCTCCAGTGTGTCTGATCTTGAACTTAGTGGGCTAGAAGAAAGCAAAGCACCCGACATAGAAAAAGAGGATGGCTTTGGAATGATGGATATTACAAATCAATGTAAACATATCAGTGAACTAGTAATAAACAAGCTTCCAGGATACACAATGTAACAATAATAATGGCAAAATCAAAGTGAAAATGTCTTAATTTTAAATAAGAAAACATTTTAAAGTCATTTTGATTTTTTTACAAGTATAGGTTTTGCTTGATAAGTAACGGATGCACAGATATTTTTCAGTTTAATGCACAA